ATATGCGAACATAAAAAAAATGATTAGCAATATATTCTAACAAAATGCACTGAAATACCACAAGAGCTTTTGTGAACTGACACCAAAATACGATATTCAAGGACATCTCTTTACAACCAGTAATCAATTACCATAAAAGAAATGCTGCATTTATTAACCACTTGCCCTCCAGAGGATTTACCCCCCTTAATGACCAGGCCTCTTTTTGCTACTCGGCGCTGCACTAATTCAACTGATAATTGCGCGGTCATGCAATGCTGCACCCAAACGAAATGTACGTCCTTTTTTTCACACAAATAGAGCTTTCTTTCGGTGGTATTTGATCCCTGTGCGCTTTTTATTTTTCACGCTATAAACAAAAAAAGGCCAAATATTTTGAAGAAAAACAATATTTTTTACTTTCAGCTATAAAAAATATATAGTAAACTCAAAGTTGGTTATGAATTTAGGCCAAAATGTATTCTGCTACATGTTTTTGGTAAAAAAAATCCCAATAAGTGTATATTGATTGCTTTGTGTGAAAGTTATAGCGTCTACAAATTATGGTATAGATACTGCAATTTACGCCACTGTTTTGCTATACAGCGCTGCCCTAGTTTAACGGACAATTGCGCGGTCATGCAATACGGTACATAAATGAAATTTACATCCTTTGTTTTCCCACAAATTGAGCTTTCTTTTGGTGGTATTTGATCGCCTGTGCGGTTTTTATTTTTTGCACTATAAAAAAAAAGGCTGACAATTTTGAGGGAAAAAAAACAATATTTTGGACTTTTTGCTATAAAACATGTCCAGCAAAAAAAAAAAAAAAATCAAATTTAGTCATAAATTTCTGCCAAAATGCATTTTGCAACATGTCTTTCTAAAAAAAAAAACCCAATACGTGTAAATTAATTGGTTTACATGAAAGTTATAGCGTTTACAAATGGTGGGAAAGATACTGGGATTTTTAGGTTTTTTTTTTATACTAATAATGGCGGCGATCAGCGACTTATGGTGGCGATCAGTGACTTATGGCGGCAATCAGCGACTTATGGCAGGACTGCGGCGGACATTCTGACATTGGGGGGTACTGACTTGGGGTCACCGACATCCCCAGTGACTCCAATACAGTGATCAGTGCAAAAAAAAAAAAAAAACACTGACACTGTACTAATGGCACTGGGGAGTAAGGGGTTTAGTTTATTTTTCAGGAAAGGGTTAACTGTGTGAGGGGAGTGTTTTACTAGGGGGCGGGGGGGGTGTACTGCAGGGAACACCACTGATCGGGAGAGAGAAACTCTTCTGTCCCGATCAGCGTGTCCTGAAGCTGTCAGGGAACTGACAGAAAGCACAGCTACTGCAGCTGTGCTCTCTCTCAGCGATTGCCGCTGATCGCCGGGACATAGCCGGTAGAGATGAGCCGAACTTGGTGAAGTGGAATTCGTTTCGAATATTAGGAAAAATTCGATTCGCACCGAATCCGAATTTTAGCAAACTTCGGATGCACGAATCGAATTTTCCCCAGATCAGCGGCAAAAAGTGTCACTGCAGAAATTTCTGACAGTTCTCTGACAGTTCCTTCACATTTACAGCGGTTGAAACATTGTATCTATTTGTTTCCATTTAGGATACAGATGTTTTTATTCGGAAACAAATACACTTTTTGCTGTACTGGAATTCTTCTTCTTTTCATTCTTCTTTTCATTCTTCTTCTTCTTTTCATTCTTCTTCTTCTTCTTTTCATTCTTTTCATTCTTCTTTTCATTCTTCTTCTTCTTGTTTTCATTCTTCTTCTTCTTTTCATTCTTTTTTCATTCTTCTTCTTCTTTTCATTCTTCTTCTTCTTCTTTTCATTCTTCTTTTCATTCTTCTCATTTCTTCTTTTCATTCTTCTTTTCATTCTTCTTCTTCTTCTTTTCATTCTTCTTCTTCTTCTTTTCATTCTTCTTTTCATTCTTCTTCTTCTTCTTTTCATTCTTCTTCTTCTTCTTTTCATTTTCTTCTTCTTATCATTCTTCTTTTCATTCTTCTTTTCATTCTTCTTTTCATTCTTCTCATTCTTCTTTTCATTCTTCTTCTTTTCATTCTTCTTCTTCTTTTCATTCTTCTTCTTCTTCTTTTCATTCTTCTTCTTCTTTTCATTCTTCTTCTTCTTCTTTTCATTCTTCTTTTCATTCTTCTCATTCTTTTTTTCATTCTTCTTTTCATTCTCCTTCTCATTCTTCTTTTCATTCTTCTTCTTTTTCATTCTTCTTCTTTTCATTCTTCTTTTCATTCTTCTTCTTCTTCTTTTCATTCTTCTTTTTCTTCTTTTCATTCTTCTTCTTCTTCTTCTTCTTCTTCTTCGTCGTGCCCCGTGACTGCCCAAATGAGTGAAGTGTGCGGTGATTCTAAGATCGACGGCACTCATCTGCATGTCATACTGACTGACAGTATTATTTCTCTTCCCAGCAGACTCCAAGGGCATTTAAATTAAAGGTACAGTGTTCTGCACTAATATAAAGGCTCTCTGAAGCCTAGAAACCCTTTTAATAAGTTAAATTCGCACGAATAAATTCGCATCGAATCAAATTTCTCCCGCAAATTCGGCGAATCAGCCGAATCGAATTTTTGAATAATTCGCTCATCTCTAATAGCCGGTAACGACCGGCTGTGACCCAGCGACTGACATCCGCGGGACAGGTAGGGCGGCGGCGCACCTCACTCACGCCCCCTACCTGTTTACAAAACACACGCTTTTTTTGCCCAGCCGTGCCGCCCTGCCGCCTTATTTATACAGTAACTGGGCGGCATGTGGTTAACTGTATATTGTTTGCTGGGACTTTTTTTTAGGTTTAATTACACAGAGGTGCGGCAACATATACAATGGATCCCTTGGTTTACTTCTTGCACTTGTATCTCCTTTATATGGTGCTTGGGTGTCAGTTTCCCATTTTATGAAATTAATACTTTCACGCAATTCATATCTTTATGTCTGTGGCGCCCCCCAAATCCTCCAAGCCAGAAAATAATAAATTAAAACATTCCATTGTTTTTTGCATTTGTTTTGATAACTCTGTATTCTTAATCACATTCATTAAAATAAAAACCTAGCTCTCATCAGTGAAATCCTTCTATTTGTTTACCTTAGCGACTCGATTGACTAAATGTGCATTGTCAAATGAGGGCTACAGCTAATGAAGCTAATATACTCCCTGTTGTATTTATTACAGCAAAGCTCAAATCATATAATGCTAATAAAGGAAAAAAGCAATAAACTGAAAATGCTATGTATCATTAATCCTTCTTTATAGAAAATGCTAAGTATATTTACCATGACTGTGGAGTAATGGCGCTGTTCGATGGCTTGGATTTTCTATTGTTTGGTTAAACGGAATACTTTATCATAGATATACTGTATGATATGATATACTAGCTCCAGACTTCTTACTTTTAAGCTCCTTGCCGGTGTGAAATCACATTTCATAGCATGTTGACATTTGCTCTGGAGATTAGTAAATTAGCTCGATAGATTACCCAGATGGAGAGTAGAGAGCGGCTGCTGGCTGAGCAGGCAGTCAATAAACAAATTTGAAGCCTCCGTTATTTGACTGAGCCCTTCTTTCTTTCTCTCACACATAAGGTTATCAGTCATGCGGAGGAAAAATCAGTGAGGTGTTCCCTGCAGATTTATGGATTCTGTGGCTAGTCCAAGAAAAATAATAATAAAAAAAAAACCAGACCAAGAAAGCAGAACCTAAAAGACTTTTTAGATGATAAATCACGTGACCGCGCATACAGCAGATGCCTTGATAAATGAAAGCTCCAGCCATAACATATTAAGGTTACTTTAAAATAACACTTCATCTAAATGTCCAGAATCCAAGGTCTTCTATCTTCTTCTCTTCAGATATGGTTCCTCCTTTCATCAATGTCAATGGCATTGCATAGTGATGTAAGTAGACATTTCCTCCTGGCTGACCAGCATTGAGGTTCTCTCAGGATCCAGAAAACTGCAGCAACAAGGTAACATCATGAAGAGGTGTCGAAGTGGGCACAAACTGCACCACTGGATTCACTGGTCATCTCTACAAGTGACGTCGGCAAGTGGGTGAAAGCAGCGAAATTAGGTGAGCATAAGCCAGGCCATGAGATTGTAAACTCGAAAGAGCAGGGCCCTCAATCCCCTCATGTTTTGCATTGTATTGGTATTGTTCTATCACATGTTCTGTCCCCCTTTGTAATGTACAGCGCTGAGCGAACTATTGGCGCTTTATAAATACTGTATAATAATAATGACAAAGTATTATTATTAACTTGTGATACACAGAACATCAGTACTCTGATCATTTCAGTTAAAGGACTTCTATTGTGGAAAAGATAGTATTCTGGTAACATTTGTAATGATATCATTCAGTACGTTGATTTGTATCATTAATATTTTCTGTTGTCCAGCAAAAGTGGCAGTTATGAGAGTTGGGAAACCCATTTAACTCTGACAGGGGAGGTTGCCATAGTCACCTCTTAAACTCTTTAACCACTAGCCTACAGGGCACTTATACCCCCTTCCTGTCCAGGCCAATTTCCAGCTCTCAGTGCTGTCACACTTTGAATGACAATTGTGCGGTCATGCAACACTGTACCCATATGACATTTTTATAATTTTTTTGTGACAGACAGAGCTTTATTTTGGAGGTATTTAATCACCTCTGGGTTTTTTTATTTTTTCTTAAACAAACAAAAAAATGCTGAAAATTTTGAAAAAAAATTATTTTTCTTAGTTTTTGTTGTAAAATTTTGTAAATAAGTGATTTTTCTCCTTCACTAATGTGAGCTAATGAGGCTGCAGTGATGGGCACTGATAGGCTGCACTGGTGGACACTGATAGGTGGCACTCATGAGGAGGCACTGGTAGGTGGCACTGATGGGCATTGACATGCATCTCTGATGGGCACTGAAAAGCAGCACTGATATATGGTACTGATATATGGCACTGATAGGCGGCACTGACTGGCACTGATAGGCGGCACTGACTGGTACTGTTAGGCGGCACGCTGACTGGCATTAATAGGAGGCACTGACATGCACTGATAGGTGGCACTGGTGCACACTGATAGGTGGCACTGACTGGCACTGATAGGCGGCACTGATTGGTAGCACTGATAGGTGGCACTGATTGGCATTGATAGGTGGCACTGACTGGCACTGATGGGTGACACTGAAAGGCAGCTCAGATGGGCACTGATATGTGGCATTGATGTGCACTGGTAGGCACTGATATGTGGCATTGATGTGGCACTGATGGGCACTGGCATGTGGCACTGTTCAGCACTGACAGCTGGCACTGATGGACACTGACAGGCACTTCTAAAGCCACACTGATCATCAGGGCACACTGATCATCAGTGCCCTGATGATCAGTGCCCTGATGATCAGCTGTCAGACCTGATTGGACAGGTGATTGGACACAGCTGATCACATGACCGAGCTGACATCTTTAGCTCTTTCCGTAGATCGGTGATCCGCTGTGTCCCAGGGACACAGCGCACTGCCGATCGCCGCGCGCTTCCTGAGCCGCGCATGCGTGGTGAGAATGGGAGGACGTCATATGACGTCCTCCCAGAACAAGAGAACCACCTTATGCCCGTCATTGGACTATATGGCGAGCGGGAGGTGGTTAAAAGAAAAAACTGTTGCTATAACTCCTTAAAAGTTTTAGCTAAAGTTAGGCTTTAAAGAATACCTAAATCCAATAAGTATACTGTGGCTTATTAGTTCTTAGATGTAGTGGCTGCATTAGAAAATACATCTTGCCAGAGATGTGGAGTCCTTGTCACTTCCTGTATGCTGACCTGAAAGCATAAAAATAAATATAACTAAATAAATTATCTCACTTTTGTAAACTACTAATTTCCCAAGCAACATTTAATGGAGATGATCAAGGCAGACATGTCTGAAGTCCAGTCTGGGTGTCAACCATGGCTTCCTCTAGAGTTTCCAAGGAGTAAATGTTGCCAAGCAGGAAGGCAGTTAGTTATTTTCATGATTACCAAGTGAAAATAAAAGAAAACTAATGGAAAACGAATGCAACCATCACACAAGAACTGCTAGCTGCAACCTGTTCATTATTTGTTGTGGGCTTAGATTCATTTGAATATGTTTATTGATTATGTAGCACAGTGGTTCTCAACCTGTGGGTCGTGACCCCTTTGGGGTCCCCTAAGACCATCAGAAAACAGATATTTCCGATGTGTAAAGAGCAGCTACTGTGTAGAAAGCAGCTGCTGTGTTGAAAGCAGCTACTCTGTTAAAAGCAGCTACTGTGTTGAAAGCAGCAGCATTGGAGGTAAAACGACACTCATGAATTATAATTACTGTGTAAATAATTTTATGGTTGGGGGTCACTACAACATGAGGAACTGTATTAAAGGGTCACGGCATTAGGAAGGTTGAGAACCACTGATGTAGCACCTACTCCTGTAGGAGCCACAAAAATACTGTCCAGGTCTTCCCCACAAGCTTTGCCATGCAGCCTGGCACACAGGCTAATTCAAACGCTTCTTCAATGACCAGTCTAGGGGTGTTGTTTTTATTTTTTGGGCAACTTGGATAGGGTTGAGGAAATTAGGTGGAATAATCCAAAAGCAAGGACTATGTACAACTTGAGGACTTACGTATTCTTCATAACACGCTATATTAAATTGCATGCTTGTAGCAAACAGTAGACTCCAGCTTTAAGGTAATGGTAGTAGTAGTTAACTTAATATACAACATAGCAGGAGCGCTGCCTCAATGTATGTTATATGACATGAAAAACATGCTTAACCACTTCAAGTCCGCACACTTTTACCCCCTTCCTGTCCTGGCTAATTTTCAGCTTTCAGTGCTATCACACTTTGAATGACAATTGCGTGGTCATGCAACACTGTACCCATATGAATTTTTCTGCATTTTTTTTACACAGATAAAACTTTATTTTGGTGGTATTTATTCACCGCTGGGATTCTTATTTCTTTTGCTGTATTAAATGAAAAAGTCCAAAAAATTTTAAAAAAGTGTTTTTCTTATAACATTTTGCAAATAAATAATCTCTCTTCATAAATCTTGGCCAAAATGTATTCAGTTATCTTTTTAGTAAAAAAAAAATAACCCAAATTAGTTTATAACCAAAAATTATAATTTTTCAAAAATATTTTTACATTTTTTAATATTCTTATTTATGTTTTTTTTTAACATACTGTCACCCTAGCAGTACAGTGTCACCATAGTGAGCTGTAAGCCATAATCATCACAATTATGACATCACGGCTTGAACTATCTTGCTTTGCATGTAGTGAGTCTATCTCATATACTAGTTTCACCTTTTAAGTTGCATTACTGAAATAAATTAACTTTTGCGCGATATTCTAATTTTTCAAGCTTCACCTGTATAAACTATGTACTGTGGGAACTTAGAAAAACAAAAATAGCTGTGTTGACAAATAAAACAAAAAAAAACTTTCATCCTACTGTATATACATTTTTTTTTCATTTTTGTTACACTTAAAGTGGTTAACAGCAATCCTGCATTTCAGCTCTGTGTCCTGGATTTCATTCTTACCAAAGACACTATCTCAATGTGTTTGTTGTATGAAAATACTCACAAATAAATGGCTGGAAATCCATAAGGGATATACAATTCATACTTACACCATCTTTACTGATATGGAAGGTGATACAACTATGGCATAGTTCTTAGTTCACTTCCACAAGGTTCAGAATTTTTAGGTTTGCCCACTAGCTTCGACTGACTGTAGATGGACGGTCAGTACGGTGGGGACTACCTAATGCTGTATTGATAGCACCCTTGGATTCGCATGTTCCCTTTTTTATGTCTTCATGGAAAAAAGATTTGAATGTAAGATTTTCGGCTGATCAAAGAGATTGCATCTATTATTTCTTACTTAATTCTTCTATCCCTTCGATCCTGGAAGAAGCAGGGTACACACTTTTTATTAGATGGTATAGATCAGTGTTTTCCTACCTTATTTCAGTCAAAGCACCCTTTTAAAATTCTGCCTGATCTCGAGGCACCCTATTCTAAAATGTAAAAAACTAAACTAAGAATTTTATATAATGCGGCAACATCCACACATGTAGCATACCCAACATTAGAAGTGATTTATTCTTCCAAAGCAAATATGCTTTTACATGCTTGTACCAACTAGTACTCCAATGTTTCTCTTCTTCCTTACTTTCTCTTCCTCAGGTAATGTGACCCCAGTGCTGATGGAGAGAGGCAGGAAAGGGGCAAACAGGAATATTGTGCAGGTGCTCAATGTCCTCCTTATAAATCGATGATGTCATCAGTTGGCTGGAAGGTTGTAATGGTGCAAAATGAAAATCTTTTAACTGAAAGACAGGCTTGATCCATCTGCTGGCTTGCATACAATTTTGGGGCAATTTCTAGGCATTTTGCGAAGGCACCCCTGAAATACCCTGAAGGCACCCCAGGGTGCCCGGGCACCCTGGTTGAAAAAAGCTGGTATAGATCTCCAGAGAAGCTGGATCCTGTGTCCAAAATATCACTGTTAAATATGGTGGTTGATAGAAAAACTGTTTTTTTAAAATTAATTGATTAATTTATTTTTATTTATTTATGGCGGGAGGGGGAGGGGGAAAATGGGGGGAAAAAAGAGGAAATTATGTGGAGATTTGTGTATTATCCTTGCATATGCCATATACATAATGTTATTCAGTAGAAATTTTATAGTTATTTATTGTTTATTTTCTTAAGGGCCATGAGCCGAGCAGGCATGCCTGATACATATGGGTTTTACTATAAATGTGTATGCTGTACTTAGCAATTACTGTAGATTGTTGGGTACCTGGATGGTAGTGTATATATCTAGTTCTTGTTTTGATTTATTGCATATTAAGATTTATGAATGTGTGGAATGTTTAATAAGTCATTAGAAATAAAGAATGTTACAGAAAACAATTGGAAAAAAAACCCCATAATGTTAGGTTAATTGTCATCTAACCAAACTGACCTGCTATGTTTGGGTGAGTTCAAGGAGTTCAAGGAACAATAGATTGTAAATCTTTCAGGGTCAGGAAATTAACAGTTCTACATAATCTGAAAGTACTCTGTAATATGTGAATGCTATATAAATATAAAACATGTAAAATATAAAACAAATTGTAAAAATGTATGTTATATGGTTTCAGCTTATGTTTGTGATTGTTTTTTTCTTTAAACCTGGTTTTATTTTAATAATCCACAGCTAGGGACAGCATCAGATTACCGAAACTGAAAGCACTGGTTATCTGTTCAAAAAATGTTCAGCCCTGGTTCACACTAATGCGGTGCGGGAAATGCAGCTAATCCTGTGTGTTTTCCTGCACCGCATCGCACAGGGTCCATACGATCTGGTATGGGTGTCAATGTTAAATTAACAACACCCTGAAGCAGATTGCAAAACGCAGTGCGATTACCAGAATTTGAATCGCTTGCGTGTGAAAACCCATGGGATGTGAATCAGGTGCGGGGAAAAAAATCGTCCTGCAACCTTTTTGGTGTGAATGTGATGCAATTTGAGCCATAAAAATGTACGCCTCAAGTCGCACTGCACAGACATCGCATGTGATTTGCACAGGAATGCGATGCGGTTCCTGGTAAAATCACATGCGATGTGCCACACAGCATTTGTGTGAACCAGGACTTAAGCTCCCCAATCAATTTTTTTACATCCTTTGGTTCACTGTTATTTCTTGTTTCAATTTTGATGACAAATAAATAGATATATAGGAAATTGAAAAATATCAGTAGCACATTAAAAAGCCTTCATACAGTATAAAGTAATAATCTCTCCCATGCCCAATATATGGCAACCTCTTCTCAAGTAAGGTGCAATCCATATAGCTGTTAATGCCAACATCTTGCGAGAAAAAATTGTAACTAAAATCCGGCATCATGTTCATCAGATAGCAAGGCAAATCTATTCATGTGTTGAAAGAGGGACAATTAGGGAGGATCTTGTCACATGCTATTCTAGAGATAAAAAAGAATATCCTAAAGAGAAAGGGGGTATATTTTTATACAGATTCTTTATGTTAGGGAAATAAACAATGAATTTGTCATAATAAATGTAAACTAGCACATTTTTATTGACTGTAATTATTATCATAAGTTTTAACTGAAACTAATTTTTTTATGTGATGTTCCTGTGTCCTTGCATTCACTTCTATGTTTTTATTAGGCCTAATCCACTTGAATGCAAAAAAAATGCATACATGCACCTAAACACATATAAATGCTATAAACGCACACTTATGCTCATAAATATATTCTAATGGCTGGAATACATGCATATTCTAGCCAATAAAGTGCAAGCAAACTCTTCTAAATGATACATTCTAATAAACACATATAGACACATTTTTTTCTGCCAACTTCTGGCAGTATACAGTGCTCAGCATAAATGAGTACAC